TTACAAATCCCTAAGGATAACAGATATTCCATAGATCCCTAAAAATAAACTGTAGCAGAAATGTCCAAACTACAGGCTGCAAAATGTAACAGGCCCCCACTGAACTACAAGCTGCAAAATGTAACAGGCCCCCACTGAACTACAACTGATCATTTGCAATTCATGCAATATTCTCTTACAATTTTAACACATTCCTGAAAGTGGCAGGCAATGCTACAATACCTTTTCATTATTTAACTTCAGGACTTGTCTAGCAGTAAACTCGTCTGAATCATCAAACACTGACTGTTAACCTGCCTGTGTAAGAGACAGCACTAAGAACAATGTTCTATCAATTCTGTTAAAAACAAATTAAACGTACACTCTCCTTTCAATCCAGGAACAACTGATAAATTAAAAGAATGGCAGTAGATTGGAATATTTGGTTGGCCCAAGAGGAGCTAAAACAAGCATGACAGAGAAGCAGCAAGCAGAGACTGTAATGACTGTCAGAAGAAACAGCAAAATTCCCGCAGTATCAGATCCCTCAATGTTCCCTAATGGACCAAAGAATGAGACAGCCTGTGGAACATGCTTGGCTTTAAGTTGATTAAAAACCCCATAAATATTTTTTGAAGACTTGCTAAGGCATAAAGATCAAGACTGAAAGGAGTGAGGAAGTTTCTCCTCTCCCTCACAGATGTTCCAAACTGCTCATTACCTCAAGAACTGTCTTGCATCACACTTGAAACTGATGCCCGCAGATGGCAAAGCTTCCACTTCCTACAGCTGCTGGGGATCCTGCAAGCTTGCCTTTGCAAGCTTCATCTGATGGCAGAAGTCCAACAGCGAAGGAAGATAAAACTGCACGTCCTTTCTCTCCACTTCCCTCATGTTCTTCAAATGCAGCAGAGCAGTCAGCTTGGATACATACCACGGCAGGTACTCAGCCCAGGTTAAGCCGCCATCCCGTCTAAATGACTCAGACAATTTCCAATAATCTCACTATTCATCCTTCTACAGATTGACCAAAAACCAGTACTAACTTCCAGGACACAGAGATTTCAACAATTACCTGATTCAATGAGAACAGATTTACCCATGCTCTCCCATTACTGCCAGATCCACTAAAGTCCATATTTGAGGATGGAACAAGGCTTCAGGAACATAAGACATGGTCACATATGTCTCCCTCAGGGCCAGAAAGTAAGAGTAAACTATTTCCAAAAATGGAGAGCTACTAAACAGAAGTGAATAAGAGTGACCAAATATGTCAGGAGCTGAGTTTTAAAGAAATACTCAAAATCACTGACAACTGTTAATCATAGGAAACTAAAGCATACCATTTTTGCAGAAAACACCCACATTTTTTACCTTTCTGTTAGCGCTGCAAGACAGGCTAGGTAGATCATTCTCTATACAGAGTATCATTCATTTAATATGAATTTAAAATGCAGCATTTAAATCTAATAACTAATTGAGGTGGTTTTGTATTATTGAAATTGATAACCCAACTGTTTATTATTAAGAGTTTTTGCTTTGAATTGGGAGTCAAAACACTATGCTGAAAACTCTCTCCTGCCAGGTTTTTTGGCAGAGAATCAACTCACACAGGAAATGTGGGGTAAAGCATTCTCACTTCCCCTTCCCACTAACTTGGTTAACATGGTTCTTCGTATGAGTCCAAGCCATGTCCCCTACAACCACACAAGTTAACAGCAGTGTAGGGAACAAGCTTGAATTTAATGTTCTAACTAGGGCTATCTTTGGTATAAGCATATCCACTGATACCTGGAAAGTGAAAATCCCCTTTGAAACAGACATTTTTACGAAACTACAGTTGGGTCACCATGCCTTTTTGCTGTCTTGCATTTTGCTGTTCTCCATCACCAATAATCTTGTCCTAAAACAGCTCCTCCTGGGAAGTGCTGAAAAATACCTGACAATAACATAATGTACAATCTCAAGGTGTTGATCTATTCCCACTACTTCAGTATCAAGAGAAACTATTTACCAGTATTATGAATGCCTGAAAGTACTTAATAAGTAAAACAATATTACGAGTTGCCTGTACATGTCTCTTCCCTTCTCCTTCCAATGAAAATCTAAAAGAACACTGTAAGAAGCACAAAGCTTTATGTAGAAGACAGAAGTCTGCCCAGACATACTTTGTGACCAGACTATGTTGAAAGCACACCTCATCATGAGGATATAAACAGCACACTTCACTCTGCAGTTCTCAGAAGGTTTCAAATGCTCTTGCTGAGATACCCGAGTTTAGTAGAAAGTCTTCACCTTACAAGTCCCAAGTATTTACGACAAAGCATAGCTTCACATTTGGAAAGATGGCCTCTCTAGAAGCAAATTCAAGCAAAATGAAAAAAAGCATACACCTTGCTCTACTGATGTCTGAACCTGCAACACAGCACTTCCTCATCCAAGTTACTCACTTGCATGAACAGGTCCATGAAAATCAACAGCACTAAAATCACATTGTAAGTGCTTGCAGAATTAAGAACTTACAAAAAACTCTTTTTTCAGCACAGTATAAAGAACTCTACCCAAATCCCTTTGAAGTTGATCAAGAGTACTCCCACTCACTTTCCAAGAGCTGAGCCTGACTCCCACTAGAGTAAATATTTATTACTGAATACTTATGTTTCTTCATTTCTTAACCCATGAGAAAAATCACTTCAAGAAACAAAAATATAATCTATCTGCCTTCAGTTCATGTACATACTTACTACACATGCAGAGCAATAGGCCAGCCATAAGACTCCTCAATTAAAAAAAAAAAATTTGGGTTTTTTTTTAATTATTAGGCTAACAGAGTTCTTCCCTGTTCTTGAGGAAAAGACATGACAAGGCTGAAGAAATTCTAGCTTTACAGTCATCCTACTACCGGTTCCCAGAAAAGAAAAAACAACAGGATCATGAGGCTCCATGGAAAATGGGACAGTAAGAACTAAATGGTAATAAAACAGTGTAAATACAAACGGGTGTAAATATAATAAAAAGATTAATCTACAAATTTTTCAAAGATAAATGTATGGAGGAAACTTTGCAAGAAACATTTTAGTGAATGGCTTACACTTCCATATGCTGCCTATATAGACATTATTTCCTCCACCTACATACTGCAGAAGCACAAATTAGGAAATCTGCTAAACATACACCAAATTGTGTTCAGAAAAGGTATGTCAAGGAGCTTTGTGGCCTTGAAGCCATTTTGTATAGAAAAGAAATCAACAAAACTGTAAATTGAAGGCATGAGAAACCCAAATAATATGCCTAGAGTTACAGCTTCTAAAAGGAGGGGTAAAATAACTCCTTTTTTGACAGTCCCTTTCATACAACCAGGTTAAATTTTGAGAACAGTGCAAAGAGGGAGGGAAGAAAAATTTTAACTGAATCAGGGAGAGGGTAAGGAAACAATCCCAGAAGAAGGGTTGCAAGCAGGTACTGCTGCTTTAGCAGTAACTTTTAAATACGAGGTTTCAATTCCCTTCTGAAACAACAGAGACATACCATAGAGCTACAATAAACCCAACCACCACACACTAGACCACAGAAAGCAAGAGCAGGTGTGCACTGTTTACATATGCAAATCCCATGGATGGACACAAAAGGAGAACACATTTTGAAGAGAAACGGGCAGTAACATACCACAAAAAGAAAGTTTCACTCCTGTTCAGCGAGCTAGTGTATTATGTTTTTCACCAAGAGGGAGAAAAAGAGAGAAATAAATTAAAATTTTTTTCTTCAATTCTCAGCTTCCCAAATTAAATCAATTTTCATTGTTCGGCTGTTTCACAAATCTGAAAGTGGCTCCCATTGCGGAGCAGGGAGATTTCAGTTATGAAGTTTAATATAAAGCAGTTTTGTGCTATGTACATAATATGTTCTCCTAAAAGTAAATTAACACACATCCAGATGTTCAGATAAGTATACCAGCACATAAATGTCACTGGAGCTATGGCATTATCACCGAAATATTTAATCCAGCAAATCTGAAGGCAACAGGAATTTATTACTGGTGCATTTTTTTTTTTTTCCATTTGGTGTAAGGTAGTTAAATGTTGCAATGCAAAAGCATATAGTCCTTTACCACTCAGGTGCTCATGCACTTAATACACATTTGTTCCCCAGCATCCCTACAATAAAAAACAGCTGAACAATCCCTAGCTGTACCCACTCAATACACTATATACAGGACAGGTACCTTCTCCTTAACGCTTGTTGACTTTGTGCGTTACATCTTCTCACTTCCCCATTTCCCACTTATAACGCTTGTGCACACTATTATTCTTCACTCCCTTCAAAAAGCTGAGTATGATGTTGAGTCTTCAAAGCAAAGTGGATTTTAAAAAAGCCTACCACGAAGACAAAATGGGTATATCACACACACTGCCACAAATAGATCCCGAATGCACCTTTGTAAGTTTTATTATTTACCGAAGTAACCAACCCCTGGCCAAACTATCCCTTCTACTGACAATAATATCCTGCCAGCTTCCATTAAATACAGGCCTGGGAGAACATACTGCTCACAAACACACGCTGTTTGTCTCCCTAGGTCAAACAATGAAGGAATAAACCACTACGGCAGGTCATTAGCCGATTTAATTGGCAAGACAGAACACCCAACTGTATCTGCAAGTGATTTCTAACAGGTTCCCTGCCCTTCCAGCACCCTCTTGCTTTCTGCAAATTCAGCTGCATCGACTGCGGCCCCAAAACCACAGAAGCGACAGCATTATTTATTTGCTGCTAACAAGAGTACACATACTAACCGTAATGAACTGGGTCACCAGAACTGCCAGGCAGTACACCAAGGTGGCACAAATTATGCTCCTTTTTCTTTGTAGAACACTCAGGTATCCTGCACGAGGCCATCGAAGTGAAAGAGCACTCAGGTGGAACTGTCTACCACTGCAGCACTTCCCACTAAGGTCGACAACCCACCAGTGAGGGGCCAAAGGTACTCAGCCGGAGTCACAGGCTGGGATGTCAACCACCACCTCCCTGCGACCCACAGGCAGAGCGGAGTGCAGGCAGATCCTCATTTCCAGCAGTAGTTTTTCAGGCCTGTCTAGGATAAGCTCTGGAACATTGCCTGACTTGATGGGGGGGCTGGGAGGAAAGTTATTTTGACTAGCACCTGTAGTCAGTCTCCAAAAATCTTGTTACCAGTCCCATTCAGAAAAAAAAAACACCAAAAAATGCTCCTAAGCAGCAAGCTATAAATCGCTCAAGAACACGAATTAGTACATTTTAGAAGATGTACAGAAAATAAACGTATCTTTCACAGAGGTCTGGTTTGAGAACACCTTGGCACTTCCTCGAGCGATTATGGTAACACTATCTAAAGCTGCCCAACTTCAGAGTAAGCAAACGCTACGCTGGCTCTTTGAGCACGTCTCCCTCTTCTACTAATGACATTTCAACTGGAGGAGCAGAAGAGGATTTGATACACAACCAAGAACTTGCCGTACAAGTGTTCCCGCAATCCGAAGGTCCCTCTCAGAGCAAAGACTTGATTTTTCCTGCCTGCCCGCCACCCTCCAGCGCAGCTTTTCCCATTTAAAGCCCCGACGAGCGGGCAGGCTCCTGCGGCCGCCGGGGGTCAGCGGGGCACCGGGTTAGGGTGGCCCGGTGCTCCGCGGCGGGGCGAGGGCCGCGCCAT